TTAATGCTTCTAAGGGCAAAACATGAAGTAATATTGCCATATTCATATAGGATTGGTGATTACAGGCAAGTAAATCTTTAGGTTCTTACAGATCCAAATCCACAAAATAGACGACGAATACTCAAGATATGGGCGATGATTATACATTTGCCAAATAGAACGTCAGTTGCCTTAGGCTGTGTGTACCATGAACTGCTGCTTAACGCCAACGCATAGATCTGACAAAATCAAGGTTCAAAAATTCGACTGACTCCAAGAAACTTATCAAATAAACCAAATTTTGATGAACAAAGAAGGTTCGTATTCATCCAAKAACAAATCCCTTAAAAGGATTTTGATTAAAACATTAAGCATCTGATGAATCGATGAGTTCTGGGTCCAAACAGCAGTCGAACAACAAACTGTTCATGAATGAGTTTATTTCAAGAAAAATGAATGAATCTGCTGCAGAAAGATCGAATCGATGGAAGTTAATTGATTTGGCTTTGATACCAATTGTTAAACCCAGATCTGACAGTAGAACAGTTTAAAGGAATTTAAAAAGAGAATTGTAGAAGAAGATGAATAGAAATCGGCCGTCGCTTTCTTTATTGAATGGAAAATACAATCTCTCAAAAAACCTAATCGACTCTCAAGTGATGTGTTTGAATCTGTGTGTTACAAAGTGTTGATAATTCATCTCACTTCTATTCTATGCCTGTATCACTTCTTATATAGGAGATATTTACATGATAAATGAATCCTATAAATAAGGTAACCAAATCATATAAACAAGGAAATAATCATTATCGAAAATGGGATCAACATCATCCTTCAAGATTCTAAAGATAGTCGTCCAGAGCATAGACCAACCAGAGAATAGACCAACCAGAGGATAGACCAATAAGAGGATAGACCAACCAGAGGATAGACAAACAAAAGGATAGACCAACCAGAGGATAGACGAACCAGAGGATAGACGTTTTAAGCTCAACAGCATCTTCAGGTCTTCCATCCCTAGCCCCGATTTCTTAATAAAACTTTTTAGAATAATTAGGATCAATTTTATCCTAACAATCTCCCCCAAAGTTATATGAAGCAAGCATCTTCATGAAGTCTTCAAGTCTTCTCCCCTCTGCTTTCTTGAGTAAAGCTTTAGTGTGCTTGGTATGGATGGAATTTTCAAGCTCCCCCCTGAATGTAGCTC